CAGTGAACTCACTGAGGGTTCACTCTGTCCCCTCGTCCAGGTCATGGATGAATAAGTTGAACAAGACCGGGCCAAGTACTGAGCCCTGGGGAACCCTACAAGCTCCCAGCCTCCAACGAGACCCTGTCCCACCAATCCCAACCCTCTGAGCTCTGCCAGGAAGCCAGTTCCCAACCCACCAAAACCAATTTTGGTTTTCCCAGGTTGAAAAGGCTCTCGCTGTGTCATTAAAACACAATTTCTTCACCAGGCCACGAGTTGTCCCTTAAAAGAGAATAAAAAATTAAAAATAAATTCAATGTTAAGTGCTTGGCTCTTCTCATCGTACCTGTAAAATGTCGTGTTGGCAGGGCTCTGCTGGGGGAGGACGTAACCTCCTCGGATATGGAGGTTGATATGATCCAAGGGAGATGGTAAATTTCTGAATTCTCCTCTGGCGCTTGAATGGCAGCACAGCCTTCCAGCGTATCAGCCACTCCTCCCAGTTTTGTGTCATCAGAGAACTTGCTGAGGGTACACTCTGTCCCCTCGTCCAGGTCATCAATGAATAAGTTGAACAAGACCAGGCCAAGTACTGAGCCCTGGGGAACCCCACGAGCTCCTGGCCTCCAACCAGACCCTGCCCACCAATCAGAACCCTCTGAGCTCTGCCAGGAAGCCAGTTCCCAACCCACCAAAACCAATTTTGGTTTTCCCAGGTTGAAAAGGCTCTCGCTGTGTCATTAAAACACAATTCCTTCACCAGGCCACGAGTTGTCCCTTAAAAGGGAATAAAAAATTAAAAATAAATTCAATTTTAAGTGCTTGGCTCTTCTTATCATACCTGTAAAATGTCGTGTTGGCAGGGCTCTGCTGGGGGAGGACGTAACCTCCTCGGATATGGAGGTTGATATGATCCAAGGGAGATGTTAAATTTCTGAATTCTCCTCTGGCGCTGATATGCTCACCCTATTTATGATTTAAAAATCGAAATAAAATTAAGAAAACCCCACATCCTTGTTGAATTTCCCATTTTTACCTTTTTTTTAGAATGCAAGCATCATAAATACATAAATACGCAGAAAGGCATCCCCTCAAAGGAGCTTTTAGTGCAGAACCACGTATTTTCAAGGTAAAAAAAACAGAAATTTTGGATGTCTAAAACAACCATGCGGCGCCTGTGAGCACAGAGAATTTTAAAGCCTGAGGCCGTAAAAATTGCTTACAATTTTTGTCTTCCCCCACTACGGCGCCGTTCATCGAAAAGGGATTCCCTGCATCATTCCGGGGTTGAAAATAAAAGCCCAGGTGGGGGCGCTGCAGGTCGCTGGCGTTATTCCGCCTCTTACAGCTGGCGTTGATGATTACGTGAAAATAAATTGATTAATTATACAAACAAAATGGCCGAGATATAATTTTTGGACGTCACAAAAAGCTCCTATGGGGCATGCGCTGGTAGAACGGAGGGGGTGGGTTCCCCCCCCCCAGCACACTGCGCTCCTCCTTAAGCTTGTTAGAAAAGGAAATTAAATGTGGGGTTTTTTTAATGACGTACTGTGTAGTAGTCGTACCAGCGGGCGTTGGGCAGGTACGCGCTCACCGCCACAGCGCCCTGCAACGAGACGGGATTGGGTCAGGCCTCTTAAAGCCAAAAACTAAAGTTAGTCTCAGGTCGCTTCTTAGATTTACTTTAAATACTCCTCCTTAAGCTTGTTAGAAAAGGAAATTAAATGTGGGGTTTTTTTAATGACGTACTGTGTAGTAGTCGTACCAGCGGGCGTTGGGCAGGTACGCGCTCACCGCCACAGCGCCCTGCAACGAGACGGGATTGGGTCAGGCCTCTTAAAGCCAAAAACTAAAGTTAGTCTCAGGTCGCTTCTTAGATTTACTTTAAATATTTCTACTACTGGATTATTTAATAATTCTTTATAAGTTAAATGATAATAAATAAGAAATAAATATAATTAATA